TTAGCGTCTCAGGATTAGAAGAGGTTTAGGATCATAATATTCCAGAACCAACTCTTTCAACTCTTGGAAGATTTTAGTGTCTCTAGAAAAATTAAGCCCTCATATAACTGAAAATGCTGCAGGTCAGCAAGCAGTCAGAAGGATTACTTGTTGCTTTTCATCTGCCCCTTTGTCATTGGCCAGGAAAAAGTATGGCATTCTTTCCACATACTGGGCCCAGTCTTCGATGGCAGGATCAAACAGGTCAAGCTTCCCAAATAAAGGCATGATGCCAGAAATGTTGCCCCAACTCCAAGATGACTGTAGCAAGCAAATGTTCTTCAGGCATGTAATATTTTCCCCCGTCACCACTTAAATAACTGCACAGAGGCCAGTACCCTGTCACATGGTCACCCTGTATTTACTAGTATGCAGTACACTGGCCGTGTCCAGCCAGCTCGGAGTAAGTCCCCTGAGCTGAGATTCCCAAATCCCCTGTTTATATTGGTCAGTCAGTGCCTCCTGGTTGGCCCAGGTTAACAACCCCAATCAAAGACCTTGTAGTCAATGAGGTCTACCTGGTCCCAATCACTTACACTTATAAAACCTTTGGGACTTGCTGGATTCATAAGAATGGTTGCAAAAATGGAGCATAGAATGAAAAATTAACATATTAAATTATAGCTTTAATTACAATAATGAGACTGATGGTGAACATGGCTAAGCGTGCAGGAGAGGTGAATTAAGATAAATGAGAAATAAATAAAAGGATTTTTGTTGGGGTAAAGTAATCCCTGTTCCTCAAGTGATACAGCTGTACCCTTGGTTAAGTTGCATCCTTCTAAATTCCAATCTACTCGAGCTTTTCTCGTAAGACAGTACCTCCATACCTGGTATCAGTTTCAGTGAACCTTCTCTTGACTGCCTTTAATGCCAATATATTTTGCCTTGGATAAGAGGCCTAAAACTGTTCTCCGGTTCTAGCTGTGGACTCAAGTATTTTCTATAGTTTTAGTAAAACCTCCCTAATTGTATACTGCATTCCGTTTGAAAAAAGGCCAGCTTTCCATTTGCCTTCCCTATTACCTGCTAAACTTGGATGCTAGCTTTTTGCGATTCATGGGTGAGGAGTCCCACATTCCTTTTCTTCAACATTCTCTTGAGTTTCTCCATTTAAATAATATTCATCTCCTCTATTCCTCCTGCCAAAGAGCATAACCTCACATTTCCCCTCTTTTTATATTCCAACTACCAAGTATTTGCCCACTTACTTAACATGTCTATAGCTCTCTGCAGACCCTTTGTGTCATCCTCACCACTTGCCTTCTCACCTATTTTGTATCATCTGCAAACTTGGCTACAGTACATTCACTCTCCTCATCCAAGTCATTAATATATATTGTAAATAATTGTAGCACTACCTCTGATCTTTGTGGCACTTCACTAGGTTTGCGTTACTATCCTGATACTGCCTCTCATAACACATCTCTCATATTAGTTAGTTAGCCTTCTATGCATGTTCCTATGATACTTCCATCATCCATCCATCCTGCTTGTTAGTATCTCAAAGAATTCTAGTAAACTTATCAAGCATGATTTTCCTCTTCATGCTAACCCTGCTTGATAGTATTCTAAATGCTCTGCAATTATGTCCTTTATAATAGACTCTCATTTTCTCCCCACTAACAGACAATAAGCTAGCTAGCCTATAGTTAACTTTTTTTGACTCCTTCCCTTTCTAAATAAAGGTGTTACGTTGGCAGTTTTCCAGCCCTCTGGGACTTCTCCAGAATGAAAGGTATCCTGAAAGATTGCTACCAGTGCATTCGTTACCACTGTAGCTACTTCTTTTAATATCCTAGCATGCGTCCCATCAGGGCCAGGGGACTTATTTGTCTTTGGCCCATTGGTTCCAAAGAACAAAGAACAGTACAGCACAGGAACAAGCCCTCGGCTCTCCAAGCCTGCACTGACACGTTTTGCCCTTCCATACTAAAACTGTTTTCATTTACAGGATCTGTATCCCTCTATTCCCTTCCTTTTCATTTAAGCTGCAAACCCTTACTTACAGGTGTGTTCGCTCTGAATCAGATTGGTATCTAACAGTTTCCACATATTGCAACAGCAACATATCACTGTCCTGTCGTCACTGTCTTATTTAATTTAACTTCTAAATTAATTACAAGGTTCCCTATCCTTCACACTTCACTGTACTGATATATTGTTTTTAGAAACTAAAAAGGAGAAAATAAAATCCCCCAGTATCAATCTAATACTCACACTGTTGTTTTTAAGCAAAGAAGGAAGAAAACACAAGACCCAAACATGAAATAAAGACCCGACTTTTGCTTTAATGACTAGAAAAAGGGTAGGATGTAAAGAAAGAAATAACAAGCTTGTCAGAAAGGCAATAATCATGGGAGATCTAAATCTACATGTGGAGTTTGAGCTGTCATAGCTAATGTTGTATGGCACAGGAATCTTTTCTGGGATCTCAATTGTTTACAATTTATAGAAATTAATTAGATGAAGAGAGGGCCGTTTTTCTGACAAAAAGACATCCGGGAAAGTAAGCTGTGAAGAGCACATGAGGTTGCCAAAAGATATAGATAGAATAAGTGAGTGGGCAAAAATACAGCAAATGGAAAATAATTTGGGCAAATGTAAAGCTGTCTTTTTGGCAGGAAGAATAAAAAGAAGCATACTGTCTAAATAGTGAGAGATAACAGAGCCCTGAGATGCAGAGAGATCTGTATATCCTTGTGCACAAATTGCAGAAGTTTAGTCTGCAGGGACACCATGTAATTAGGGAAAATAAAAAGCATGTTAGAATTTATTAGGAGAGAACTTAAGACCAAAAATAAGGACCTTATGCTGCAATACATAGGGCACAGGTGATACTGTATCAGGAGTACTGTACACAGTAGTGATCACCTTATTAAGGATGTAAATGCATTAGAAGCATTTCAAATATTTACTAGGCTAAAACCTGAAATGGGTGAGTTGTCTCATGAAGGGTTGGTCAAGCTAGGTATGTATGCAGTAGAGTTCAGAGTAAGAAGTGACTTGATTGAAACATTTAAACCTTGAAGGGTCTTGGCACAGTAGATGTAGACAAGATATTATCTCTTAAATGAGAAGCTAAAACTGGAGGTCGCAGTTTAAAAAACAGGAGTTGTTCATTTAAAACAGATTAGGCTTTTTCTCCCCCCTCTGCAGGTCATAAGTCTTTGGAAAGGTTACTGGGATAGACAAAAAAAGTTGGATTTGATGTTACAGCCTGATAACCATGATCATATTGAATGGTGGGGTGGGTTAGTGGTGCTGAATGGCCTACTGCTGCTGCATATGTTTGTATTTAGATCCAAAGTTATGCAAGTTAGCTCAGACAGCCCACAAAAATGAGGCTGAGGGAGTTCCAAAGTGTGATTGTAAAAACAGTGGGATTTTGGTTAGGAAGTGGAGATCCCCTTACAGATGTGCAGATGAAGAGTAAAACAGTTATTTATCCAGGTAGCATTACTGCACAGATGTTGTAAAACTATAGTGTAGATAGCATACACAATTACTGTGACAGGACATGCAGTAATATGGAAAACTCAAACATCGATAAACTGGTGCTTCTACTGTCTAGTCTTCATAAATATGTGGTGCGGTTTTGTAAAAGTACCATGCATGTCAAATAGTGGGAAAACATCAATATACAATCAAAACAGCACCTTTAATACCCATACCAGTTTTTGAGGAACCATTCCTTATAGTGTTAGTAGGTTCTGTAGGGCCATTAATGAAAATGAAAGCAAGACATCAGTATATTCTTCGTATTTTGGATATGACATCTCGGTTCCTAGAGGCTATTGTTTTGAGGACAATCACAGCTCAAACAGTGGTGGAAAAATTAACTTTTTCTAACTTGTTATTGACTACCAATAGAAATACAGTCAGACCAAGGTTCTTGGCTCTGTTTGCATTCTCTGACCAAAGATTCTATGCATTTCACAGTATCCTTCTCACTCCTCACGCTATGTCCCGCTCCATCAGCCCATTGTCATGGTACACAAATCAGTTATTTATCACTTCACACACTATATGTCTCCCCTTCCTCCCCACTGGTAGTTCCTGATAATTTCTCCACCAGATCAGTTCCATTTTGGACTTCCTGTTGTGTAATTAAAGAAGTGGGGACAAGTGTTGTCAACAAGGTAGACTCCTTATTGCAGTGCTGGCAGTTGACATTATGGAATAGATGTGCGCAATGCTGAGAGATACTTTGAAGACATAAGTTGTTTGTAGCTTCAGGCAGCAGTACCTGAGAAATTCATGTCCCAGTGTATATGTTGTTCCGTTTATTCAAACTGATTTTAACTGGATCTCTTTCTGAACATAAAGTAGTCACCTAATGTTTTCCCTTGTGCTGTTAACTCTGCTTTGTGCTTATTCAAGATTGTTTGAGCGTCTTAAATTTAGAAATTCTACTTCAGCGTAAACTCAATATGAGAATTTTGCTTTAAGTATCCTTTAATATTCTCCCTTACATTTGAATGATTACAGTATTTCAAGAAATTGGATGATACTTTAGTTCATTAAGCTCTCATGTACGGTTTAAAATTATGTTCACAATGCATCAATTATTTTGGATGGGAAACATTTGTCATGAAAACTTAGAGGATAATGTGCAAATTTAGTAATTTAGGTCATTTGTATTTACTGCAAGTGGCAATAAAAATTGAATTTGAAAAAGAAAGTGAAAAATGAAAATTAATTTGTTTTCCCAACTCCTATTTAAACATTTGGCCTCTAAACAGCCCTAGCAAATTGAATTTTTAATATGCTGACAATCCTATGACAGTACTACTTGTTTTCAGGATATTTCTTCATAGCTTTTGCTTCATAGCTATTGCAAATCAATCTTCTTCACAGTAATTTATTGTAAATGTTTAAAATTGCAGAAGAATTATGACAAAGAACTAGTAATTAAAATGTTTGAAATTAATTTCCTTCACTTCACATGTATATTCTAGATCAAAGTATTGGAGCAGGAAAACGAACATTTGAATCAGACCATTGCATCCCTGAGGCAACGTGCACAAATCAGTGCAGAAGCTAAAGTGAAAGACATTGAGAAAGAAAACAAAATTCTACATGAATCTATTAGGGAAACAAGTGGCAAACTGAACAAATTGGAGTTGGAGAAGAAACAAATCCAAAAGGAGTTAGAACACTATAAAGAGAAAGGAGAAAGGGCAAAGGAACTTGAGACTCTTTTGAGCCGCTTCAAAAGAGAAAATGAACAGTTGCAAAAGAAGGTTACTACTCTAATAATTACATGTGAAAAAGTCGAAGTCTTGGAACAGGAGAACTCCGATCTAGAAGTGGAAAACAGAAAGCTGAAAAAGACTTTGGATAGCTTGAAAAACCTTACAATGCAGTTAGATATATTAGAGAAAGAAAACAACCAACTTGATGAAGAAAATTTACAATTGAGGAGGACAGTGGAGAGTTTGAAGTCTAATAGTGTCAAGTTGGCACAATTAGAACTAGAGAACAAAGAACTGGAAAATGAAAAAGAACAATTAAACAAGAGCCTGGATCTCTTGAAGGCTTGTAACAAAAAAACTGAACGTTTGGAAGTAAGTTATCAAGGACTTGATTTAGAGAATCATAGGCTCCAGAAGACTCTAGAAAATAGCAACAAGAAAATTAATCAGCTGGAAAATGAATTACAGGACTTAGAAACAGAAAACCAGAGCTTGCAAAAAAATTTAGAAGAACTAAAAATTTCCAGCAAACGGTTGCTACAATTAGAGAAAGAACACAAGCTGCTGGAGCAAGAGACTGTCCAACTGGAGAAAGACAAGAAGCTGCTTGAGAAGGAAAATAGGAGGCTGCGCCAACAGACTGAGATCAAGGACTCAACACTGGATGAAAACAACATGACAATTTCTAATCTTGAAAAAGAAAACAAATTACTTGTGAAAGAAATCAACAAATTCAAAGATCTTCATGGACGACTGAAAGATTTAGAAAAAGACAATAAAGAGCTAGTTAAACAGGCAACTATTGATAAGAAGACTCTAGTGACATTGAGAGAGGTAAGATACTTATTTTTGTTATGTGGGTGATTAAGAAACTTACCCATTGTAATGGTGGAAGGGAGGGTTTGAGTCACAAAAATCATGGAGGATGATCTGTCAAACAAAATCTGGTGGGGTGGATGGTAGAGACAATTGGAATCCTATTGTGGTTCTGGGATCAAAATGAAGGGCTAATATTGGGGGAAGCCCAACTAGTAGGGGCAATGAGACCATCACAATCAAAGATCCTATCCAGTACAGTAGGGGGAGATCAGAGCTAGAAAAAAAGAACCTCTCAGAATTTTAAGGTATGTTCTGGACTATCCTATCAAAGGAAACAGTTTCTTTAATTCTACCCAGTCACATGCTTCATTCATCTTCACCATCAATTAAGTCACTCAATAATATTTTTATATTCATAATGTAATCCGCTAAGCGGCAGTATCATCCCTGACATGTCTGCACTGCACTCCTCTCCACAATATTCTGTTTCAAAGACAAGTATTTGGATTCAAAACATTAACACTGCTCCTCTCTCCATGGTTTCTTCAGTACTTTGTATCTATTTCAGAATATTCTTCATGCGTTTTCGTGCTCATAACCAAACCTGGTACTCCAGATGCAATCTAACCAAAGCTCTACTCTAGGAGTGCCGAGCCTGGAGCAGTGCCCATTTTTTCTGGTAGACAAACTTACAGCTCATTCATCAGGTCCCCACAGTTAATAATTACATAACCTTACCCAAGAAGGATTGTAGACGAGGAAGAAAACCAGCTACTCCTCCATTCAGAGGTACTTTCTCTGATAAGCTTATCAACAGCAAATGTGGGAGAGAACCATTCTATGATTGGAGAAGCAGTAAAGTGCCCAAGGATCGGGGCCAAGAGAAGCACAAGCCGTGGTATGTAGTCTACTGTCTGGGTCTGGGAATGGGAGGCTTTTAAGGAGACACTGGTTTCAGAAAAGGGAACGAAGATGAGAGTCGCACAATGGGTAGACAGCAATGGAGTCAGCAGAGGGGAGCTGCATGTCAGGCTGTGATGGTGAGATGGGGGAATAATTACATTTAATTATTTTCAGAAAGAGAAGTGTTCTGCTCCTTAAAAGAAAAGGCAAAAGTAAGCTTTATTATTACAGTATCAGTTTATTGCTTTTTAATTTTATGAAGTTCTTGATTATTGATGCGGCAGCCTTTTGAGGTTTGTTCACCAGCCCCCTATGAAAGAGAAAAACTAAAATATGTCGCCCTGTCCAATCCATGCAAACGATTGTACAAAACGGTATTGTCCAACTGTAACCTAACTTCCACCCTTTCCACCCCTCTTTGAGGTGAAGGCCAACATTCATTAACATTTTGAGTTATTTTTGTGCTCGTCCACTACTTTTTAGTGACTATTAGATATGGACTTACTCCACAGTTCCAAGCGATTAATACATCCAACTAACTTTTTTTTTCTATCTGCAGTGAGTGATCTTTTAAGTCTGTATATTAACTCCATCTGTGAGAATTTTGTCCACTTTCTAAAAAAAAAACATTCAGTCGTGGGATGTGGGTGCCATTGGCAGGGCCAGCACTTATTGCTCATCTCTGATAGCTTCTTGATCTGAGTGCCTTGTTAGGGCCATGTCAGAGGACGGTTGTAGTGGTTCTGGAGTCACATGTAGATAAAAACGGCAGATTTTCTTCCCTAAAGGACATTACTGAACCAGGTGGGTTTTTACAATTGACAATGGTTCCACAGTCACTAATCGGCTAACTTTTTATTCTAGATTTTTCTTATTGAATTCAAAAGTCACTGTCTGCCATGTTGGCATTCGAACTCATGTCCTCAGAACATCAGCTTGAGGTTCTGGATTACTAATTCAGTGACATTACCACTATGTCACTGCCTCCCAGATTCAACCCATCAATATTACTTTGCAACTTTCCGCTCTCATCTGCGGTGTAGGGTACCATCTAACTTGACGTCATCAACAAACTTGGAATTATGACTCTATTCTTTCATCTAGTTCATCAATAAATACAATGAAAGATTAAACTGCAGTACATAATCTTGGGAGATCCCGTTAAGCCATATCCAGGCAATTGTAGCAGATACCATTTTTCTGTACTTTCTATCTCCTATCTTTTAACCAATCTTCTATCAATGTCAGATGGTTGCCTCTGATTCAGTGAACCTTTATTTTGGCAATAATGTCTTGTGTGAAACCTTATCAAATACCTACCAAAGTTCTATATATATGAAACTTCTGTAATCCCTCCTTATCTAACACATTGGTAACACAAGGTTCAACTCGGTTATTTAGACATGAAATCCATAGAGTCGTGAAATTGTACAGCAGAGAAACAGATCCTTCAGTCCAACTTGTCTGTGCTGACCAGATATTCTAAAATAATCTAGTCCTATTTGCCAGCATTTGGCCCATATCCCACTAAAGCCTTCCTATTCAAGTACTCATCCAGATGTCTTTTGAATGTTGTAATTATATTGGTCCCCACTACGTGCTCTGGCAGCTCATTCCTCACATGCACCACCCTCTGCCTGAAAAAGTTGCCGTCTACTTTTGGACTCCCCTGCCCTGGGAAAAAGACCTTGGCAATTCACCCTATCCGTGCTCCTTATGATTTTATAAACCTAAGGTCACCCCTCAGCCTCCGACATTCCAGGGAAAATAGCCCCAGCCTATTCAGTCTCTCCCTATCTTTTCTGAACTTTTTCAAGTTTAATAATATCTTTCCTATAGCAGGGAGACTGGAATGGAATGTAGTATTCCAAAGTGGCGTAACCAATGTCCTGTACAGCCGCAACATGACATCCCAACTCCTGTACTCAGTGCACTGACCAATAAAGGCAAGCATACCATCACATTCTTCACTACCCTATCTACCCGAAACTCCACCTTGAAGGAACTATGAACCTGCACCCAAGGTCTCCTTGTTTGCCAGTACTCCCTCGGACTCTAGCATTAAGTGTAAGTCCTGTCCTGATTTGCCTTACCAAAAGGCATCACCTCACATTTATCTAAATTAAACTTCATCTGCCATTCATTGACCCAACTGATCAAGTTCCCATTGTACTCTGAGATAGCTTTCTTCACTGTCTGCTACACCACCAATTTAGGCGTCATCTGCAAACTTACTTAAACCTATAATAAGAAATAAAAACAAATTTTAAGAAGATTGTAAGTTTGAATTCTGAACATTGACTTTTGGTGAAAACATTAATTACTGTTACTTCTGCATTATCACAGTAATTTATTTTTGATTGCTTAGATCAGTTTTTCAACTTACTGCCAAAAGATTTGCCAAGGATTACAATACCCAAACACTTGGAATGAATTTTACAACGTTTTTACACTTTTGTAGAACTGCCGTTGCATTATTAGTGCACCTGGGCTTAAATGACAAACCCATTTGTACTAATTGTACTATTGTACTAATCAATAGCAAAAATAGATTTCCGTTACTATCATGTTTAAGATTTGATGCGTTTAACTGTAATAAAAGGACAACTTAAAACCTGACAGCTATTTATTATATTCATTTCCTACCTTCATTCTTAAGCTCTGAAATATTAACTCTTCAATGTATTAGTCTGATTCTATTTTGACTAGATTAATATTTTCTGATCAATTTGTATTTGCTTTCTCAGTCTGTTTCTTAACTTTCCCACGTCAGATGTTAGACTAATAGGTCTAGAGTTTGTTTCATGGTCTATCTCCAGCACAATTCTTAAGTGATGTGACATTGGCATTGCCTGCATCTGTTTTTGGGACATTGCCTTTAACATCCTTTTTTTTTGGTATTTATACTTAAAACTTTCTGTTGACCTTGATAACACTCGCACTTTTTTTTTATTATGTTCTCTTTTTGCAAAGTTTTTTTTATATCTTTCTCAGTCTGTGGGCTCTCAGTTATGCTTAGCAATTGTATAAACCCAGCCTTCTAGTTTCATACAAAACTCACCTAACTTGATCAAAGTTATTCATTGTATCCAGGGTTATTTAAAGGCATTTTGTTGCATTTCTGTACTATACTTTCAAAGTAATCCTTGTAGAGATTTAAAAAGTGATTCATAAACTGCCTATCTTCTCAAACAAAATATTGAAATTGCTTGA